GTGGTGGCCAGGAGCGGCCACTGCACTCCAGTCTGGGTGACAGAGTGAGACTCCAACTCAAAAAAAAAAAAAAGAAATATTAAATTAGAATGTATGTTAACAATTGCATTCTAAAAATCTACACCTACTACTACAATTATTATTATTATTATTGAAATCTACACCCTAAAATGATATCTTAAAAAAAAGTGGTTCTTACCACACGGGGTTCGTTTCTGCTGGTAGTTGCTCCGCCCAGAGTTATGGTACCCATAGTACCTAATGGGAAATATCAGAAAAATCAGAGCTTCTTTTGAGGTGGGGAAGAAAAACACTAGTTAATTTTGAGTTGCAAGGCTATTAACATGCATCACAGTGTCACATAATTGTATCACTGCAGGTATTAGCATTTATGTGAATTTCCTGATTATTGTTTTAGAAAATAACTTCATCAAGCAATATCTTTAAAATCAGAGTGGCAGACTGATTTTCTGTTGAGAACTCATGTCCCACATGGGGGAAAAATGATTTGAGGATTGCATGCAAGTAAATGAAGAAAATGAATCATAAATTATGTGTATATATACATATCCTCAGATAACCCAGATATATATTTCACAGAAATGATCAGCTGTGGATAGTGGAGAACAAAAGATAAAGGTAGAGATGGGGGAAGAGAAAAAAGAAGACTGAGAGAATAGCAGGCATAGGCTGAGGGGGGGGAAGGCAGGCAATAAAAAAAGGGAAAGGAAGAACTGTACGATGTTAACTAGTCTGTCCTCAATCAGAGTTGCCAGACTAAGACGTAGGACTCCCAGTTAACTTTACATTTCAACAAACAATTTTAGTACAAGCATGTCTAATGCAAATTTAGGACACACATGCTAAAAATTATTTGTTATCTGAAATTCAAATTTAACCAGGAGGCTGAGTGTGGTGGCTCACGCCTATAATTCCAGCGCCATGAAATGCCAAAGCAAGAGGATTACTTGAGGAATTCTAGACCAATCTGGGCAACATAGTAAGACTCCGCTTCTACAAAAAATTAAAACATTAGCTAGATGTGGTGGTGTGTGCCTATAGACCCAGCTACTCTGGGGGATGGGCGGATCACTTGAGCCCAAGAGTTCAAGGCTGCAGTGAGCTATGATCACACCACTGCACTCCGGCCTGGGTGATAGCGTAAGACCTTGTCTCAAAAAAAAAGAAAGAAAAGAAAAATGTAAAAAGACAAATTTAACAATGTATCTTAATTTTATTTGCTAAATATGACAATCCTGAGTATGCAATGCCAACAAGTTATGGAATCTATTGTCATTCATTAATAATACTAATTATTGCTGATAATCATGATAGCAGAGATCATCATGCTAAGTGAGTTATCACAGAAACAGAAAATTGAATACCACAAGTTCTCCCTAATAAGTAGGAACTAAGCTGGGCTTGGTGGCTCAGCCTGTAATCCCGCGCCTTTGGGAGGCTGAAGTGAGTGGATTGCCCAAGCCTGCGGATTCAAGACCCGCCTGGGCAGGCAAGACCTCATCTCTACAATAAAATCAAAAAATTAGCCAGATGTGGTAGTGCGCGCCTATAATTCCAGTTACTTGGAAGGCTGAGGCGGAAGGATCGCTGGAGCCCAGTAGGTCGAGGCTGCGGTGGCCGGGAGCGGCCACTGCACTCCAGTCTGGGCGACAGAGTGAGACTCCAACTCAAAAAAAAAAAAAAAAAAGTAGGAACGAAATACTGAATACACAGGGCCATGAGGATGGGAACAACACATACTGGGGCACTCCTAAAGGTAGAAGGGAGGAAGGGGAGGAGAGGTTGAAAAACTACACGCTGGGTACCATGTCTGCCACCTGAGTGACAAGCCCAATAGAAGTTCATCATGCAGTATGTAACAAACCTGCACATGTACCCCTTGAATCTAAAAAAAATTTAACATAAAGGGGAAAACGGAAAAAAATTTTTGCCATGTCCTTAACCTCTTCTTCTTCCCTTTCCTTTCAACTCTCCTTTTCCCTGACCTCTATCTCTTGGTCCTTCTCCCCTCCACAAAAAATAAAATAATTCTAGTATTAATAAGGGTACAGGCCAGGTCTGGTGGCTCACGCCTGTAATCCCATCCCTGGAATGCCAAGGCAGGAGGATTGCTTGAGCCCAGGATTTCAAGACAAGCCTAGGCAACATGGCGAGACCTCATATCAACAAAAAAATTAGCCAGATGTGGTGGCATGCACCTGTAGTCCCAGCTACTTGGGAGGCTGAGGCAGAGGATTGCCTGAGCCCAGGAGGTTGAGGCTGCAGTGAGTTGTAATTGTGCCATTGCACTCTGGCCTGGGCAACAGAGTGAGACTGGGGGGCGGAGGGAGAATAAGGGTACAGTTTACTTTTTTACTCAAACTTCAAAATTTATATTTAGGGAAAGAAAAAAGAATTTTATTTCCCTTTGGACTTCTGTGGGGTTTTAAGAAAAATGAAAGAATGATTTAGTTTAGAAATTAACTTCATAACCTACTAATACCCTAAACCTCACTTTGACATTCAAAAGGTTCAGGTTGCCTCAAAGCTTTAAAAAACCAGTACTTGAAAGCAATACAGTATACCTATCAAGGACCCAGATTTCAGCTTGCTGTGGTTTTCTGCCCCTGCCTTCCAGCATTTTAGCTTGACACAACAATTTTCCTTTGAGCAGCACCTGCTGAAGTGTATTTCAGCCATCAGGAAGAGTAATACTAAAATGAAGTAAAGGTTAAATCCGGGAGGAATGACTTGCATTCAGACGGAGTTATAGAGTAAATAAGGTCTCAAGAGTATTCATTTCCCATCTCACTGGGCTTTCATCTGAATTTATTAAGTGTAGCACAATATTCACATCTAACCTTTAGGTTCTTCTCAAAAGAGCTCAGAGTTGAGGTGGTGGCAGGGAGGAAGAAAAGCAAGGCTGTCAGAAGCAAATGTTTTACCACAAGTTATATTATTGCTGAAGACAAACTCTTCTTTAAACACCAGCAGGTATGATGGGAAATTCAGCTGAATTTAGAGATTGCTTAGTGCCTGTGCTCACTAAGATAGGTGACTGCCTAAGTCCACAAACTGCTCTCTGGACTCTACAGAAGCTGGGGGAGGGGGGCGATATACTCTGAGTCAAATTATAATTTTATACTAGTGGAGAAGTAAATTCCTTCAAATGTCACCTGTCTCTGGAAAGATCTAAAGGAAAGACTTCACCCTAGGTATAAACAGACTAGGTGATACAGTATGTTAAAGTGATAAGACTGGCAATAATAATGATACATCCTGGATCTCAAGGGAGTTCACAAGCAGGGATTTCTTGAAGTGTAACAAAATCAGTCACATTAACTCAGGATTGTATTTTGCCAACCAAATAGGTCACACCACTGCAACTCAGCCAACCAGCACACAGGACAATAGGAGGAGGGATTCTTGGCCAAGAGCTTTGAGGTCAACCCTCCCCCTACTTGGAAATGCCTAGAACAGAAAGTCCTGTACCCTGATTAACTTGCGTGTGTGTCCAAAATTAAAATTCCGACCTTTCTCTGAGACAAGTTTGTGAAATTCAGTTCTTTTGAAATTAGAGGAAAAGGAACACCATCCAGGAACACTATTAAGTTCTCAAACTCCAAATAAGCACCTTGTGCAATTGTCCAACCTATTTTTTTTTTATTTCAGTGCCCTGGTAGCCTGATTTATCTGTGGTTAAAAGAGACAGTATAGATAAGGATCATGGAGGAAGTGGACAGTGATCGCTCTTTTGGAATAGAGGAAATTGTACTTCAGGGAGTAGAATACTAGGTAAGGATTGTGCAGCAGAACACTGAGTTTAATTTGGCCTTATCAAGACTGCCAGTAATACATCTTGGTACACAGAGCATGTCACAAAACATCAATAGTTGTTTGTTTGTTTTTCCATTTGACCTATAAATGTGGCACATTTTGTCGTAAGGGTAATAGACAGCCAGTCTCTCCCACAGCATTTCAAATTTCCAGAATGACCAATATTTGTGAATTTGAAGCCTGGATGTGGTTGGTGCCACCTACTGGGAAAAATGAAGAATTACAAATCTCTCACTGAACAAATTACCCTTAGAGGGCAAGATTCTTTGTCGTGAGGATTATACATTAAACAGGTAAGTTTGGATTCAAATCATAGCCTTTAGAGCTGGAATAAGCACAAAAAATCAAACACATTAACACTTTCATTTTATAGCATAGTCTATGAGATAAGCTTTGACTATGGAGTCAGAAACCTGACTTCTCTGAGTTTGTTTCTTGTTCTGGAATACCTATTCCATAGAGTCACTGAGAAGTTTTCACACAGTGATAAGTTTTTGACATGCTGTATGTTATTATTGTTTTAAATTTTAAAATCTAAAACTAAATGACTTTCCCAGATCACATAACTGGTAAGCCTCAGAGTAAGGCCTGCAACTCATGTATCTGAGTCTAAATTCAGTGCTTTTTCCATTAAATTACAATTTTCCAAAATTTGATGGTGACATGATTTTAGGTGACAACTGGGATAAATTTAGGAGGTGTTGGAACACAGTGTTAAATACTATAAATCACTGTGAGAAAATTATTCCTTTTTCAATTCTCTCAAACTTGATGGCATCAAAGAAAAATGTTTCAGTTTGATGCCGGTTTTCTCTTTTTTTTTGAGTTGGAGTCTTACTCTGTTGCCCAGGCTGGAGTGCAGTGGCACTCTCATGGCTACTGTAGCCTCGATCTGCTGGGCTCAGGCAATCCTTCCATCTCAACCTTCCAAGTAGCTGGAACTACAAGCGTGCATCACCACACCCAGGTAATTTTTAAATTTATTGTAGAGAGATGTGGTCTCACCAAGTTACCCAGGCTGGTCTCGAATCCCTGGGCTCAGGCAATCCTCTTGCCTCGGCCTCCCAAAGTGCTGAGATTACAGGCGTGAACCACCATGCAAGACCTGATGCTGGTTTTCTTTAAAATTCTCTGTCTTGCTACTCTCACTTTCTAATAAAGATAAAACAGCCCTCAAGCTTCAGCATCCTGCTAGAACATGAAAATTTTAGTTTTTGTATTTACTTATTAAGTTTACCTTCTGTTATGGAAAACTATATTGGTTTTTCGTTTAAAATATAAATTTTATTTTCAAGGAATGCACTTAAGAAATCTAAAAAGTCAATCTAAACAGCAAATATTGAATAAACAATAGTCCAAGTGATACATAAACTTGGAAAACACTGAGCACCACCAAACCACCTCCTGAACAGCAAGAAATTATTACTGTTGGTAATAATCTCTTTACATAATTACTTTTCAAATCCCTTCATGAAATAAAATAATATTTATTTTCAATATCCAAACACTAGAAGTTATAAATAGGTCATATAATCAAAATCGAGGACTCTGATTTCAAATCCACTAGGGTTCAAATAAACACCAAGATTTTGCATATATTTGTTAGAAAATGAAACAGGCCTATAATCAATGCTCAGTGAATGTAGAATCAGTAAAACACAGGACCAATGAGTCATTCATGCCTGTAGCTACAATAACTCGTGGTAACTGAGCAGTATAGTGCCCAACCACCAGGAACACAAGAGGAAAGAAGAGGAAAGGTGTTGATCTGTGGCTGTTCTAGTTCAAAGTTGATTCAGTTTTCTGCAAGCAAGGAAATAAAAACTTCCTGAGACAATCAGATTGAATGGAACCCTTTACTATTTACTAATTTAGGCTTGATTTGAATTGGAGCTAAAAGACTTTTGACTCCTTACTCCATAGATCCCTTGAGATGATCTTCAGCTAATTTTGAATGAAGTAAAACAAGGATCTGTCTGTCCTTCTGACAACCCTCCTCTTATCTTTTTAATTTGTATCATAATTATTTTATACTGCTTCTGGTTGCATCCCAGTTTCCTTCTTTTCAGTTGTCTACAGTCCAATTCTTATCAAAACATAAGTTGAAAAAAAATATGTGTGGAACACTGCCCTGAAGGATAGATCATCATTCCAGTCTTCTAGATTTCCTAAAGTTTACCTGTGGCTCAAGCCAGACCAACAGAGGGCTATGTACCTGGATCAAATCACCGTGAGTTGATCCATCACTTTAAAATTTTTTTAGATTACTAAGTTGTTTTCAGATTGTGCCAAAGAACAGAGGAGATAGAGCCTAGGCAATTTAGATTCTGAATTCATTTAAAAAATATTGTTCAGGACATCGACTATTACTCTCCACATATAGTGTCCTGCCCACATCATTGAGACCTGGAAGGGAAATATCTCTCAGATCTCCATACCAGGAAAAACTAAGATTCTCTTGAGTAGTTGGTTTGTAGTTACTTCATAGACATTGCAAATTCATGTTTTTGGCTTATTTGTTTTGTGTGTGTGGTGGTGGTGGTGGTGGTGGTGGTGGTGTGTGTGTGTGTGTGTGTGTGTGTGTTTTGGTTTGGGAAATTCAGAATCAAACTTATAGCCTACCTTTACTACACAGTACATTCATTATGCATTCTCATGTATTTACCTGGTTTCAACTTATTTCCCCTTTACTTTGATTTACTCATGTATGTATTTAAATCTATGTGTTGTGTGTGATTTTTATAAGCCATGCAAGTCTTTTATGGAATAAGACTAAAAAGCAATTAAAGACATACTTATTAATTCTGATAGAATACTGTCCTCCCTTGGTTGTGATATCCCACTGCACGTTACTTTTTAAAATACAGAATTCAGATTGATAGATACTTAAAAATTTAAGAATGCTTTTTCCTGTCCCTCAGAGCCATTACTTTGTTTTATTTTTTTAATGGACTATATGATGTTCTCTAATGATGCTAAAAATTATTTAGGGGAAATTGCTGAAACTCCCAGAAGAACAACTGGATTGGTAAAATTTACAACCATTGTCAGATGTCTGTCTCCGTGACCTCCTCTGATGTAAGAGTCTATTCCAACAAGATTCACGAGATCAAACAATTATAATTCTTAGGAAAGGAGAGGAGATGGGAAGGAAACGAATATTTTATTGAATGTCAATTATGTGTCAGCTACATATGCTAAGCACATAATATATTACTTGAACTTTATAAGGAAAACTTAATTTCATCCAGAGATAATTTTTACCTTGGTACAATAGCTTCTGGGTAAAAATAATGATGGTAGTGAAATAAAATTTATTATTAGATTACTAACATTTAACTTACTGTGTGTCAGGCATTGTGTTGCTCATTTTCCAAGTAATGGGATCATTGATGTAAAACAAACAAAACAAAACTTCAATTCATGTACTTAGGATGTTCTACCTACCTTGGGACCCAGGAGGATTTAAAAGTACTTGTTTTGGCTCAAAATTCTGCTGTAAGTACAGTGATAATTTCAGGTCATTGGCTTTCTGGTAGTTCTTCAAGGCTTCAATTCTCAACTCAATCACTTTGCCATGAGAGTCGTTCTGAAAGAGGACATTTTCCCAAAACTATACATGTAGTACTGGCTTCTCTAAATCTATTGTTACCTGGATCCCCTTTACCCAGAAGTTAAAAATAATTTCATCATGCTCAGTCTTTAAAAATTGGTCAGAAAGTATTCATGATTTTTTTTTCCATTTCAAATAGAACAAAATTAAGAACATAGGAAGAAATACTATTTATTCCAAGTTACTCAGGGTGAAGCCAGAGATAGGTCTCTTCGGTTATCTCCTCATGCTACTTTTCTCTTAGCAGGACAATTGGTAATCCAGAATTAGGGGACTAGGCTTAACAAGATGCAGCTAAAAGCCTTTATAGTATATGAATGAAATTGCACCCCATGTCCAGTCTTGGAAGACTTTAGTACCTGAAAATTGTTGGTTTGTTCCTGATACTTGACCCATTCCATTTTCCTCTGCTGCTTTTCCTGGTGGAAGAAAGAGCTTCTGGGTGACAAAGTAAATTGAGATAGAAATCAGTTTTCTCAATAGGCTGCAAAAACCTTGTAGAAAAATCATGGCGTTATATGCTGTTAAATTGGTTTCAGCTGCACAATCCACTCTCTAAAAGCTAAATGAATAGTGTTATTTTTTATGAATTACTTGCTTATGGGAAGATCAGATACAAGCATAATACCTCTAAACACATTTTCAAAGACAAATTAACAAGTGTTCTGACATCACAAAGCTCTTGTAAAGTTATCATTGTTGGTATAGCTTCTCTTACTCTGCCCTAACATGATTTCCCAGAAACGTGGGTTTTCACTCTGACTCAAAGGTACAAGGGTGACCCCCCAAAAACTGAAATTTATTTATTAAAAATTGTGTATTTATTCTTATGTGTTTATTCAGTCACCTTCAAAGTACTCTCTGTTTGATACAATACACTTGAGATGCTTTCTCCACTGCTCAAAATAGTTTTTGAACTCATCAATTTTGATGCCTTTTAGTGCTTCTGCTGTTTTTTGTTTCAACTCTTCCACATTGACAAAACATTTCCCTCTGAGGACTTTTTTCATCGGGGAAACAAAAAATAGTCACTCGGGGCAAGACTGGGTGAATAGGGAGAGTGGGGCATGGAGGTCATGCCGTTTTTGGTCAAAACACGGTGTGGGCAGACTTGAAATGGGCAAACACATTGAAATAATCTCCAAAAAAAATTCACTGAAGCAGAATGCAGCCTCTCACAACAATGCTAGCTGGTACACCGATGCCTATGAGTTCCTGGAACACTTACTTAGGGGGGAAATCTGTACTACAAGGGGCCTGCCCTCCAAAAATAATTCCAGTTTTCTTGGGGTCTCCCTCGTAATATCTCAAAGGAACCAGATCTCCTATAAAAATTCGCATTGGTTCAGGAATACACCATAGCTTAAGCAGATTACTACAACATTAAAGATATCTAATTTAACAGCTTTAAAAGCCACTTCCGTTCAGAATAGTTATACTACCTTTCTTATCTTCTTCACTTTCTTTGCAAATGATGTCTCTAGTATACTCTTAGTCTTCCTAGGTGATGAGGGGAATTTGGGAGCCTGGGATGCAAGACGAGAGCTAAAGGAATAGGAGGTCGCAGGAAAGAAGTGCAGTGTCTCTGCAGACCATAAACCTAAAATTCCCTAAAAATCCAGATCCTACCTATCTGCCTACCCAAAGAGCCCTGATTGTCAACAGGCTGTTTCCAGCTGTTCCGCCAACAATCTTGAAATTCTATGTATGTGCAGCCCACTTGCCTTTCCATCTTGCATGTTGGCCTTGTTTTTTATCTGTGGTGCTTTTTGTTGATCACTGAGTTCTTCCACCTTGAATGTCTGTGGAGAGACATTTTGGCAAAGCTTTAAATTAATGGAAATTAATGAGGAAAACCATTATGAGTCAAGGTTTTTGGTCCCTGCCAGGCAGCAACTCCTCAGGGCTGGACACGAAAAGTATACTACCAAAGGGGTTCAGAATGGAGAACCCTTCCTTCCAATTGGACCCTAGGGTGTACCTTATAATAAAACTATTAACTGGACTCTTATTATGTGCCAGTCACTATTCTAAGCTACTTGCTGCATTATTCTACTTACTTTCACTACTACATTATAAACATTCTCATTTAACCCTCACAGTTCTTTGAAGACTACTTTTATTTTATAGATAAGAAAACTGAGACTTGAAGACATTATTTGTTTAGAGTCACACAGGAAAGTACAGAACTACAATTTTTAAAAAAATATGGAATGTTTCATGAATTGCATGTCATCCTTACGCAGAGGTCACGCTAATCTTCTTTGTGTCGTTCCAATTTTAGTATATGTGCTGTCAAAATGAGCACCAGAGCTGGAATTTGAACCAGACCTTTCAGAATCTGAAGCCCGCTCTTGGCCTCTGGGCTGCCCTTCTCCATTTCTCCTAGTCTAAAATATGAACAGGGAAAGTTGGTCACAAGCTAAACATTCCCTATTTTTAAAAAAAATCTTTTGGGAGCTCTGGAGAAACTTTATTTTGATAGAGGAATTTTGCTGGCATATTTCCCATCACAAGGACTCAAGAACTCAGAAGCTGAAACTTCTGACAATTCATAGAACTGATTTCTAGCTGCCACTGAGAACTTGGAGCAGATCTCAATATAAGATGTAGGGCTTGAAGCTATTCTGGTCACTTGTGGGAAGTTGAGATGAAAAAAAGCAGTCAGAAGCCGGGCTCGGTGGCTCAGCCTGTAATCCCGCGCTTTGGGAGGCTGAGGTGAGTGGATTGCCTGAGCCTGCAGGTTCGAGACCCGCCTGGGCAGCGAGACCTCATCTCTACAATAAATCAAAAAATCAGCCGGGCGTGGTAGCGCGTGCCTGTAATTCCGGCTACTTGGAAGGCTGAGGCGGAAGGATCGCCGGAGCCCAGCAGGCCCAGCAGGTCGAGGCTGCGGTGGCTGGAAGCGGCCACTGCACTCCAGTCTGGGCGACAGAGTGAGACTCCAACTCAAAAAAAAAGAAAAAAAGCAGTCAGAGATCACAACTCACATGTGTTTATTTCACAAAACACAATCTGCTCTTCAAGTTGCATAGTCTGTGAAAAAGCTCTTGGGTCCCAAGGGATTAGCCACAAAGGAATTCCCTGCCCAATTCCTCCCACACCTTAGCCTGGTTTCCCAGCAAAAGGTCCTAATATCATTTTCTTAAGCAACGCAGTGATTGTTATAAAATTATAGGGGCATCAGCATCAGGTATTCATTTGTTCATTCATTCAACTTACATTTATTGATTCTCTACTATGTTCCAAACATTGTGCTAGGAGCTAAGAATTCAGACAAAGCAGTCAAGATACTAGCGGAGCTTGTATTCCAAAAGGGGTCAGAGAGACAAGAAACAAATTAAAAGAAAATACAAAAGTTGATATTATGAAAAGTGCTATGGAGGACATGAAGAGAGTTGTATAATAGAAAGTAGGAGGAGGGTGCCCTACTTTAGATGGAGCAAACAAGTAGGGCTCTCTGAGGAGTGACATTTAAGCTGAGACCTGAAGGATGAGAATGAGCTAACCATGAGAAAATAGCCGTGAGACAAGAACAAAGTCCTTGAGATGGGAAAAGGCTTGAAATACTTGAAAAACCATAGGGAGGCCAGTGTGGTGGTTGCATAGAAAGCAAGGGGTGGGCATTTATAGAGGAGACTGAAGAGTGGGAAAGAGCCAATTATGCCACAATGAGTGACTGTCTAAGTTTCTCATAAGAAGTGTGACATACTTTGATTCTTTTCAAAAGATCACTTTGGCTGCTGTGCAAAGAATGGGTTGGGATGAGGCATGGGTGGAAGTAGGAACATAAATAAATGAGGAAGAGGTCAGAGGAAAGGGAAGTCCTTTGTGTTGTGATCTGTAGGACAAACTTTCAAGAGATCCTTAGAGGCACACCTTGTTCCATAGCATCTCCATTTCCTTCCGAAGCATCTTGTTTTTCCTTTCCTGTTGGAGGGAGGAAAAACAAACAAACAAACAATGTGTTTGTCCAGTCACTGAAGTGAGGTTGGGAGAAATTACTAAGTAATGGTGAGAAAGGGGTGCAAGAACATAGCAAATCACAGAGGAAGGCAATAAATGGCTCTAGCCCCAGATCCAAGAACATGAGACATTTGATGATGATGGTAAAAATAAGTTATTATTCCCAATAATAACTTGTAATTATAGTGATTGTGAGATGGTATCAATAAAAATGAATTCCTGACACTTATATTCTCATGGCATATATGGCAATTTCTCTGGGACTTGAACAACTAATTTTTAATTTTTAAGATCCTTTACATTGTTGATTTCTTTAAAATCTTGTAAGAATCCCACAAAGCAAACTATTTGTTTCCTTTTCCTTTGGTAGATATTTTTTATTCTTTCTGAAATGTGAAGGGTTAAGATGCTTGTATTCATTAACCCCTATATGACACGTTTTTTAAAGAGTCAAAGAAATAGAATTTTTGCCATCTAGTCCTGTTCTTCCCAACATTCCATCTGATTACCTTTGGATCCCCATGGACTTTCTAGATCAAGGAGATATGAGTGTTACAGTATCAGATGCTAGAAATGAGTACTCTTTCCCTCTGCATCTGACAATGCCGTGAAATTGATTCCCAATCCAGAGGCCATTACCTGGAGTAGTTACCTGGAGTAGCTACCAACCTCTTACCAGGTTCTGTTTCATTTCCTCTGCTTCTTTGATGAGCTCCATGACTGAGGATTCATCAGAGCCCTTCCTTGCCATGATCTGCCTCATGATCTGCAGACTAGAAGGAAGAGAGATATTATAAAGCATACATACCTTCTAAAGAATACCATTAATATTCTCTTCCATGGAAGCTAGATGGGGACTGAAATCCCAAGAGTTTTGAAAGCCCTTTTGTGCATAGAAGGTCTCTCTATAACTAGAATGCTTCCATTTCTAGCAGACCTTTGCCATATCTGTGTGCTCTATAATGAAGTCTGTGCTCTTTAATGCTCAAAACTTAGGTCTCCAACAACCAGTGAGGGTCCTTCCCTCAAAGAATGTTTGGTGTAGACTTTGGGAATAAGGAGTGTTTCTGCTCCTATAAAGGAAGAGTTTGAAGAACCCGCTATTTTCTAGGACAAGTTCAAGCGTTATTTCCTATCCCATTTCCATCTATCTTCTCCTATCCCCTTGTTTCTTCATATAAAGACATTCGAGTCTACTGGGGAAATCACTTATATCCTTTTGTAGCTCCCAGAGAATGCCAGTCATTAAGAAGTTCTAACAAAATCTGAATCAATATCAAGTCTTTGTGAGAGAGGATATTCCTTAAAGGCATTAATTAATTTATGTTTGTGTTCTTGTACTTTTTCCTTACCAATTCTAAACAGAGAGCCAGGCCTTTGTGTTTACTTGCCCTAAGAGAAGTCTGTGTTGCTGGCCTGTAAGTACCACAACTTTCTGCCTGGGTTTTTTTCTCCAAAAGTCTGAGATGCTTATGATAAAGGAATAAAGGGAGACTCACCGAGGTGAGATTTTTCTGAGACTAGAAAGGAGAACTATGGGTCCCAAGAACAGTGAGTACTCTAGTAAAGATACATTTAGAGAGGCTAGACCCTAATTCAGAGGGCTCCTTGTCTCAGGAAAGATTGCCATTCTGCTACTTGGCATAGAAAAACAGAGTCATTTATTCTAACGTGATTCCACAAACGTGATTAAGGAAGCTATCAGTGTGACCAGATAGACTAAGGCTATTAAAGGCTTTTAACTGTTTCTGTTTCTTGGGTGGGTACCCTAGGGAGAAAGAAAAATAACTATATCCCCATGAAATGACGACTGAGTAAAATTTACTCAAAGAAAATAATTTGTTGTCAACCTGACTTTGTGGATACAAATTGTTTACCTACTACAGCTGGATGTCCAAACCTTTTAGTAGTAAAAAGAATTGTAAATAATTATTATCAATACTATGGAGATTAAGTTCTCTAGATTTTCTGTCTCTAGAACTTCTGAGTAAGAAGCCCCTACCTTCTTTGTTTCTCCTCCAAGTTAGACATTAACTTCTGGAACAAGAGATTGTTCTTATCTTCTAGAGGTTTTAGCATCTCTAAAAGTTCCTGCTTCCTTAGCTTCAAGTCCTCATTCAATTCCTTCAAGTAGTTATTTATTTTAGAACTTCTGTGAGAAGAGACACAATAATATCTGCCTTTAGTCTGGGTTAATATATAGAAAGACCCTCTTTCCCCTCTTGTCTAGTTACCATTTAGCATCTACTATCAAAGACTCACCTTATTTTTGAGGGCAAGTAAGATCCTGAAGAGTTTGTACCATTTGCCATCCTGAAGGGAAACTTCTACTCGAATAAAGAAGGCTTCTTGAAATTATGTGCTTTCTTTTCCAGTTAAGTCATTATTTTTGTGGTGCTGTTCTTGAAACTCCTGTTGCAATGGACTGGTTTTAGCTACAGATTGAGGTCACAATGGCCCTAAGATTACAAAAATCAACAGGTCTCTTAAGTAACTCCAAGATCATTGGCAGCTTGTTGACTGAAAATACTAACTGCATTCAGTCAACTCTTGCCTTAGCTGTAGCCAAATGCCACAAGTTTTATTCCAGAGTCTTAGAATGAACAGGATAGAATCACAATTTGTCTACATTATAGAATTACTATTGTGTTAGAAAATGGTGACCTGGCAAAAACAACTCATCAATACCATTTTCCATGGCAACAAACCTCTGTGAAATGTTTACTATCTGTAGGCCACAGTGATGGATTCTGTAAGTGAAAAAAAGATAAAGTACTACCTTTTGAAGACCTTAGGTAGAGAAGAGGATACTTCTAAGAGACTTTTTTTTTTTTTTGAGTTGGAGTCTCACTCAGTTGCCCAGGCTGGAGTGCAGTGGCACGCTCATGGCCACCCCAGCATCAGCCTGCTGGGCTCAGGGAATCCTTCCACCTCAGCCTTCCAAGTAGCCAGAACTATAGGCATGCACTACCATGCCCAGCTAATTTATTTATTTATTTATTGTAGAAAGAAGTCTGGCCAAGTTGCCCAGGGTTGGTCTCGAACCCGCAGCCTCAGGCAATCCACTCGGTTTAGCCTTCCAAAGTGTTGGGATTACAGGCTGAGCCACTGAGCCCTGCCCTAAGAAACATTTTTTAAGAATAAGAGACCAAACTGGCAATTATAGAGTATGGATATAATAGACATGGACATAATACATTAATCATTGTCATTATTTTCCAATATTTAAAACTTTATATTACCATAATGGCAAGGTAAAAGAATATTGTAGCGAAATGATTTAATTTGTGAAAAACTCATATTGACAGTATGTCCTTCCATAGCCAGGTGCTTACCTGGAAGATTGTAATTCTAGGATCACTTCAAGATTCTGATTCTGCTTCTATTTTCTTCTTTACTAGAACTACATTTCTTCTGGATCTTAAGATACCCTGTCTTCATCTACATCACTTAGTGCATGAAAGATAATCCAAAGAGCCAGTAGGGCAGTTTTAGTGAGTTAAGTCGTGTCAGTTTCAAGTTAAGTCAAATATGAGTTAAGCTGTGTCTATTTCACGTATTATCTTAGCATTTTCAGTCATTTTCTAGAGGTGTTCTCCAAGGTAACTTAAACCTTTTATCTTTTGGAAAACATTATAAATTTAAAGAGTATTCTAGTGGAAATAACACAAGATTTGGTTTGTCAGAACTTTCCGTGAATCTCAGCTTCACTGTGAGCAGTGAGCTACCTGTGAGCAAGTTTCTAAATTCTCTGAGTTGAAGTTTCCACTTTTGTAAAAATGAGAATGGTAATATTGACCTGATAAGTTTGTTGTGAGCATTAAATGTAATGTTATGTAAAGTGCTTGACTCATGTTAAATGTTCATATTTTAGTGAGTTTTTATTTATTTGATTTTTAGGATTGTTTAGTGCCCCAATTAAGTGGTCAGATACAAAAAAGCTGAGTTATACAAGGTTAATGAAGTTAAACTTCAGAGCCCTTCATTTTCACAGACTTCTACCAAAGGCATTGAACCTATTTTGCATTCATAATTTTGTATAGTTTTTTGGAGAGACCTCCTCAGTTTACATATGCTTCAGGGGCCCACAAAACTTAAATCTGCTTCTGATTAGATAGGATACTTATCTCTCAAGTACCTTCTACATCTAAACTTCTTAGGCAGTCTCTACAAATACTTTTATAAAATATGCATATGTCACTTGTAAGATTTGTATGATACCTAGTGTAATATGTGTATGATATTAAATTGGAACAGTCATCTCAAGTCAACCATAATTCACATTGGTTGTCCTAGAAATCCCATGAATTTGGATTGAATGAGGGTGAGCAAACTCTTCATAGTTTAAAAAAGGAACTGAGTAGACAAATTATTATTAGTAGCATCTTTGCATATGTGGAAAGTGGTAGCAAATAGTAGAGGACAAAAATGGCATTGATCACTAAAACATAGTCTCTTTAAATTTCACATTGTGACATTTAGTTGGCAGAACTATGGCAGAATTTCAAAACATTAACGGGCAGGCAGCATCCCAGCTCACCTTCCTTTCTGTCCTTGCTTATGAATGATTCAAAGAGGAAGAATTCTTGCTATTCTGATGTGCTTTTTTCTCTAGCCAATCAGCAGCTTTTATTTCCTAACATTCCAATGCCTGTTTGTTAACTTGCAATATGACTTCCAAGGGGAATATATGCCTTGTAATAATGCATATAGACTTTATACTGAAGAGCTTACAACCCCCAAAAAAGTGTTGAGAGGGACTAATTGATGCATGGTATTGTTCCCTGGGATGGGGGAAGGGAGGGAGAAGGTATAGATGACTGTTAGAAGTGAAATTGAACACTATTTTTTTTTCTGAAGTAGGAAGTTAGGTCATCTGTTGATTGAGGAGGTGTGGTAGGAAAGCTCAGAAGAATGATGATTTGCGATTTGGAATAGCACCTGAGTAGTAGAAAAGGAAGCCAACCATGTAAAAGTATTGCCAAGTAGTGCAAAGGGTCAAGGTGAATTTGAAAATTGCAGATTTGTCATTGCATGAATCAGCAGTTATACCATTTTACCTAGCAGTACTTGGCAAACCAGGAGCAATAGTAGAGAGAACAGATGGTTGGTTGACTGTGGGCTGGGACTTGGCAGAGTGGATACGCAGAAGTTCAAGGGAGTAAAGGGGCTGAGAGTGCTGGTGAAAGTATCTATCAAAAGGTTGATCATAGTGTTCAGGCTGTACAGGGAAGAAAATGAAGAAGAGAGTAGCTTAGAGAGGGGAAACCAGAAAGGGGTTGATACTGAAGAATGTGAAGGTGGACAAACAAAGATTATGGTCAGTGAACATGCTTCATATGAAATAACTTGTGGAACCTCATCACTGTTTAGATAAATTATAGTAGCAATTCATAATTTTCTTTTCTGTGATAAACTTTGTATCTATGGCTTCCTGTCATTGCATAATATTCACTGAAATTCATGTGGTCCCTCAAAATAGGCCTTATAACAAGTTATTCACAATGACCTCATCCACTATTATAGCATTTGACTTCAGTATCTGTTGAGAAAATGCGTGGTTGCTCTATAATTAGAGAACTCAGAGCAATACCGTTTTAGTGTTAGTTTTGCAACAGAAAATCAGATTAGTCTCATTAAGCCAGGTCTCCAAGAGTAGAGGCAATTATTTTCATATTACACAAAACAAAACAAAAAAGAGACACTTTCCTATCCTTACCTTTTTCAGCTTTGGTTGTGGCAACAAAATTACAGAATTCTTCAGGGGAGAAAACACAAGAACCTTTTAGTCCTTTCTGTCCAAGTGCCAGTTCAACCCTTGAGGGGATTATAAAAATTCCATGAACTAAAATAAGGAGAGAGATGCTGGCAAAATCATAATAACAAAACGTGTTGGCACTTGAATTTCTCCTAGATCTCCCTTTGCCATTTGTTATGACCATTTTGTCAGCTCCCTCTCCTTAATCCTTGCTATAACTGTCTCAAGCCAGGCTGTACCTATGTTTGGAGTGAATTTAGGAGTGGAGAAGACTGAAATAAATTGTGGAACTCTTGAATTATCTGTGTTATTGGTGAGGTCTTTTTGAAAGTAATATATTATCTCAACGTGTCCAGATATAGTACAATGGTTTTCTGAGGCATGTGAATTTTCCCAGGAACTTTTCAAGAGATGCTGGAAGCAAGTGTAGTTTTTAGTGAACCTTTTGTAGATTCTCAATTTCCACAAGTACTCTTTACTAAAATGAATCTGTCTGAGAATGCTCCTTGGTTTCTTTTCCCACCTCCTTTTCCAATCACCCTTCAACCACTTGTTAAAAAAATGGGATACCTTTCAACCATCTGGAATCTTACCTTCATGACTTGCTTTAAGGGTTGTTAAAAACCTCTGGGCATTGAACTAATCACAATCCAAAATGTTGGTGTTGGGATTGAAAGGACTGAATAGCTGTTAATGACCGGAATTGAAATTCTTTTGCAGGTCAGGTGATTTCTAATTCTTTGTTATTAACAAAATTGAAGGAAGATCTAATTAAATTTTCAGCTTAAACTTAAAAAAATTAAATTTTGATGGTAATTGCTATATGATTTTGGGCTTATAACTCAGAAGGAGTTCAAAGATTTGAGTGACATAGCTGTAACAAAACACCTTCCGTTCCTATCTACTTATTTGTATAAACAAGTTTTTCTCAGTGAGTATTATATGTAAAGCAAAGATTATGAATAAAACTGATACCGAGGGCTGTTTGATTCTAGGAATAAGTAATATTCACTTATGAATACATGAAGTAACGAGGGGAAAAGCAGCCTATCAAATTAATAGAAGCATTTCCAAGATAATTGTTATATTTAAAAATTATTTATAATATATATGTTTTGTCAATTGTATGCTTATTAACAGTTATAATGCAAACTCCATTCTGAATAAATGTTAATACTTAATGTCTCAAGGTCACAGAAAATAAATAAAAATTGAATGTACATACATATTTTGCAGAGAAGTGTGATAGGGCGTTACATTGCATTAGAATAAAATTCTGTGGGGAAAGTGTGATGGAAACACAAGTTCAAGGAGAAAAAGGAGAAAATGTAACAATTTTGATTGCTGAAGAAGAGTTTATCATATATTTAAATTTCATTGAATATGGGTATTTAAGATTCATTGGATACATTTTAAGGTGATAGAAAAGACTTATTTGAAAATGTCAGTATTACAATATACCAGAATATTTTTGTGACTATTTGAAATTAGAATAAAAAACTGAAGATGTCAACTTAAGAACATGTGAAACAATACCTAGTTTTTCATAATTCT